ATCATCAGAAATCTATTTGAAAGACAACTAATCTTTTTGATTTAAGACACTTGCTTATAACATTGAATTTTTATGTTTCATTGATTTAGTTAAAACTACAATAATAAATTTGTGTAAATTTTAAATAAAAAAAAATTTTAAGCTCAAAATTATTTCTTAAATTGATAGGATTAATAAATAAAATAATATAAGTGGAATAAAAAAGATAATAAAAAAAATCAAATAAAAGCTAAAAAATAAATTCAAAGTGCTTTTTTGTTTTATCTTCATTTTTATAGTTAAAAATATCACAATCCATAAAAAATAAACTGTTTTTACGCAAGCCCAAGAGTTAAATTTGAGAGATTAATGCAATTTGCTAAAGCAGAACATAAGCCTATAGCACCTTCACCACGAATTTAATTATCACTTTTTAAATATTGAAGAAAGGAAAAAATGAAGAAAAAATATGAAATAATAAGATTAATTAATAATAAAAACAAAAGTTGAAAATAAAATGATGAGGGAGTTAAATTAACAAAAAGAGAAAAATGCAAGCAAGCACAATAAAAAAGAAAAAGAAAAAAGAACTTTATTAATAAACTGTTTTTACGCAAAGCCAAGAAACAAATTTTAGAGATTAGTGCAATTTGCTAAAGCAGAACCTAAACTTGATGCACCCATTACACCAATTTAATTGCGACTTTTTTAATATGAAAGAAAAAATATATAATTAAATAGTTAATTAGTAGGAAAAATGAAGAAAAAATATGAAATAATTAGATTAATTAATTATTAATAAAAGCAAAAGTTGAAAATAATTAAAAAAGAAAGAAGAAAAAAATGCAAGCAAGCACAATAAAAAGAAAAAGAAAAAAGAGCTTTATTATTTTAAATTTGTTTTTATAATTATAATTATCACAATCAAAAACAAATAAACTGTTTTTACATTAAGCCAAGAGTCAAATCTGAGAGATTAACGCAATTTGCTAAAGAAGAACCTAAGTCTGATGCACCAATTGCACCAATTTAATTGCGACTTTTTAAATATTGAAGAAAAAATATTAAATTAAATACTTAATTAGAAAGAAAAAATTAAGAAAAAATATGAAATAATTAGATTAATTAATAATTAATAACAAATGCAAAAGTTGAAAATAATTAACAAAGAAAGAAGAAAAAAATGTGAGTAAAATAAAAAGAAAAAGAAAAAAGAGCTTTTTTGTTTTTAATAATTTATATTTAAAAATATCACAATCCAAAATAAATAAACTGTTTTTACTCAAGGTAGAGTGTCAAATTAGAGAGATTTTTGCAATTTGCTAAACCAGAACCTAAACCTGATGCACCTTCATCACCAATTTAATTGCTACTTTTTAAACATTTTAAAGAAAAAATATTAAATAATAAGATTAATTAATAATAAAAGCAAAAGTAAGTTGAAATTTATTAACAAAAAAAGAAGAAAAAATGCAAGAAAAAAGAAGAAAAAAATGAGCTTTATTATTTTAAATTTGTTTTTATAATTAAAAATATCACAATCCAAAACAAATAAACTGTTTTTACTAAAGGTTAAGAGCCAAATTTGAGAGATTAATGCAATTTGCTAAACCAGAACCTAAGCCTGATGCACCTTTATCACCAATTAAATTACCACTATATAAATATTGAAGAAAAAATATATAATTAAATAGTTAATTAGAAAGAAAAAATGAAAAAAAATACGAAATGATAAGATTAACCAAAAGTTAGTGAATAAATTAATTACCTAAAAATAAAATATAAAATAAACAAATAAAAATATATAAATCTATTATAAAAAATATTATTTATAAGATATATTCTGAGTGCATTTATATGTGCGAGTATTTCTATTCTATTCTATCACGAATTTTATTGCAACTTTTTAAACATTGAAAAAAAAAAATATTATTAAATAGTTAATTAGAAGGAAAAAATGAAGAAAATATTTGAAATAACAAGATTAATTAATTAATAATAAAAGAAAAAATTGAAAATAATATGATGAGGGGATTAAATTAACAAAGAAACAAGAAAAAAATAAAAGAAAGCACAATAAAAAGAAAAAGAAATAAGAGCTTGATTATATTAAATTTATTATTTTAATTAAAAATATCACAATCCTAAAAAAATAAACTATTTTTACCCAAGGTCAAGAGTCAAATCTGATAGATTAATGCAATTTGCTAAAGCAGAACATAAGCCTGATATACCTTCATCACCAATTTAATTTTACCTTTTTAAATATGGAAGAAAAAATATATAATTAAATAGTTAATTAGAAGGAAAAAATGAATAAAAAATTTGAAATAATAAGAGTAATTAATTAATAATAAAAGCAAAAATTGAAAATAAAATAATGAGTTAAATTAATAAACAAAGAAGAAAAAAAACCTGCAAAACAAAAAGAAAAATAAAATAAATCAAATAATGAAATAGATTTAATCCTTTAAATTAATTTTTACAATTAAAAATATTACAATCCAAAACAATAAACTATTATTATCTAGTCTAAATATTATAGCAAAAATGAAGAAAAAATAAATAAATAATTAAAAATTGAAATTAAGTTAAAATAGCTAAAAACTTTTAGTTTTAATAAAAATTAATGAATAATGACGATAAATTCTTTATTAATAATAATAAAAATAATATTTATAAATTAAATATACTATAGATCAATATGGAGAATCTAATGAGATAAAAGTGAAGAGTTTAAAAACTTTTTTTATTAAAATATATAAATTTAAATGATATTTATAAAAAAATAAATAATTACTTCTTCTAATCTCTTGTAATAATTAATTTATTATATCATTTATTTTCTTTTTTCAAAAATATTGAATAAGCAATTTATGGAATTTAATAATTATAAATGGATAAAAAGAACAAATAAAATTTAATAATTAATTAATTATCAAATATTAATTTATAAATTTGCTTTTAAGAAGAGATATCACAGAAAAATTAATTAATATTCACTAATCTTAATATTTGTATTTAAAATTTTTTTTTTAAATATAGTAGGAATTAGAGATATACAGTTAGTTAGTCATATTTAAAATAATAAGAGTAAGTAATTAATGTTTCCTAGAATAATTTAATGAAAATTTATAAGTAGATCGTATTGATAAAAAAAAATAAAGTAAATAATTTAAGGATGAAGATAAATTTAAAATATTTTTTGAATAAAACTAAAAATAAAACAAAAAATACTACACAAGTAAACATAACATTTTTAGCATTTATATAATTTATAAAGAAATAATATAACACTAACAGGTTCAAATTATTTGATTGTTTTTGGAGAAACCATAGGGTTACTTAAGAGGAATTAATTTATTTAAGTAAATTTAATTTTTTTATTTTTATAAATAATTTATCAACTTACAAAAATAAATATGAATGATATTTATAAATATAAAATCAATAATAAAATCTATCTATCTATCAGTTTATATTATAG